GGGTCCATTGACTACTAACAGTTACCATTTTTTATCCTCGACTTTCAATTGGATCAGAAATGGTCCCTTGACTATTGACCTTTATCAATTTTAATCATCCACTTTCAATTTGACCATAAATGGTCCCTTGACAATTGATTTTGTTCCAAATTTTGTCATCCAATTAAATATCCATTTAATAAATATGGCTAATATGAAATATCATCATTCAATTAAAATAGCTTACAAGAGAGGGAGGGAAATTACATGTTGGGATAAGAGGCTTGAATGATAAAATTACTAGTTACTTTATTAAATTGTGAAAGAGTTTTTTGCACTTTTGGTCCCACGACTATAGTGGCACTAGCAGAATTGATCCACGACTTTTGAACCTTGCAATTTTAGTCCACGACTATTGATTTTTTTGCAAAAATGGTCCTTCCGGCCACTTTTCCGTCAAAATTCCACCGGAAATTTTTTTTTATCCATTTTTAACAGGGCTAAAATTGACATTTTACTTATCTCAAAAAATAAAAGAAAAAATTGACATTTGACTACATACAATATTACTGGGCTACATACTACTGCCCCAGGCGGTGGAGTTCCTGGAGCAGGTAGGGCTGTCAGTAAGCAGCGGCGCGGCCGTGGCGTTCCCCGGGCTAGTTGGGTTATCCGGCAGCAGCATTGGAGGCGGAGCCAGCACGCCTGCGGGATCATCCGAAGACATCGAAAAAGCTTCGTTGTATAGATTTCCGGCGAGAGAAGCGGCAGAGATTCTCAAATGCAATCACTTTTACCTTTCCGTTTTATGTATTTCCTTTATATTTTGAGATAAGTAAAATATCAATTTTAGCCCTGTTAAAAATGGATAAAAAAAAAAATTTCCGGTGGAATTTTGACGGAAAAGTGGCCGGAAGGACCATTTTTGCAAAAAAATCAATAGTCGTGGACTAAAATTGCAAGGTTCAAAAGTCGTGGATCAATTCTGCTAGTGCCACTATAATCGTGGGACCAAAAGTGCAAAAAACTCAATTGTGAAATGACAAAATTTTTAAAGGAAGACTAAAGTGGCAAAATTAAAAGAATAGGACTAATTGTGGCAATGTCACAGTAGTTGAGTACTAAAAGTGGAATTTGCTCTAAAATTATTTATGATTCATTATCAAGTCCATATTCTCAAAAATGCCTTATTGATGGGCATTCTTATCTCGTTTTATCCTTTCCCTTTTTGATCATCACTGACTCCTATCCAGGAATTAGCACTTAGTTTACTCTGCATTTCATTAACCATTAAAAAACTGCAGGTTAGCTGCTTTGGTGATGACAATAATTCTGATACTGGGGACTACTGGAAGTGAGTATTGACTATCTTTTGATTTATTCCTTTGCCTTCTTTTAAGATTATTGTTGGGTTTGTAATCTCTTTGCTTTCAATTATTAGACTTGAAATTGAAGGAAATGGGAAAACTTGGAGGCAAGATCAAAGGATCAGGCTTCGCCATGTGGACACTGCAGGGTATCTACACAGTCATGACAAGAAGTACACCCGCATTGCTGGGGGCCAGCAAGAGGTGATCACAAGATGACATCCCTTTTTATCATTGGCTCGTGCTTCCTGTCACTCTATATATACCGTTATAGAACAGGACAGATTCCTTACGCTAACAACTTCTTCCGCACTTTAATTCTGCAGGTTTGTGGCGTAAGAGAGAAGCGTCCTGATAATGTTTGGCTGGCTGCAGAAGGGGTATATCTCCCAGTTACTACCGAAAGCAAGTAATGAATACGATATTGTGTTAGTGTGATTGAAAGCTACTGCATAACTTTTACCCTTTAGTAATATCTTCTTCCATTCCAAAAGAGGGCATAGGATGTTTTGTGCTATTTCCCTTTTGCTGCTCTTCTGAGAGATTTTCAACCACTTATCAACTTCACATTATCATAAATGTTAAGGCAGGCTTAAACTTATAGAGTAGGACTCTTTATCAAAAATTGTTTCTGCTCATCATATACAGTATGCACCATATGACAATGTTTACTCTTGTGCTAACAAAATAGTCATTCCTACAGGGGTGTGTACAAATATATATACTATATAGTTCTATAATATATTACGTTATGTATATAATTATATAATTCATGTTATATATTATATACTTCTATAAACTTAATATAAGCTTGTGAGATTCAAAGTGTTGGCTTATTATGAAAAAAAGAAAGTATTTTAGACAAAACAAATTGTCGGCCATTAGATGGGCTGCACATTTCAGAATAGAGAAAATAATAATATGGAAATAAAATTTATGAATTCTTAGAGCAATACCAAAAGATAAAGTGAAAATTTGTATGAACACCATTGCAACTCGTTTCAATTGCGTTGATTACTTGATTTGCATGCTTATTGACTAAATCACATTGTCACTCAAATGATAAAATAAAATTGTGTCCATTTTATTATAGTTATTAATCCCTCTATTATTTTATTTAATTTAATATTCAATATTAACATTAACTGAGGATAAATTTTCAAAATATAAATATTTTTTCAATATAAATTCTTAATCTCTTATAACCCAAAATTTGTTTAATAATTTTTTTTTTTTAAAATAATCATGATTTTTTACAAGGGAATATCTGTTCTACGGGTTCGAATCTATAATCTATATGAAATAATAATTGAGATGTCATCCCATTACATGATAATTGACAAATTCGTTTAATATTTGATACAATAATAGAAATATAGAATGAATAAAACTTATGAACAACATTCTGAACAATTATTATTATAGCTAACGTGACAATTGACAAGTATATAATATATATATCGATCATATCGTGACAAAATATATAGCATAGCGATAATAATGTAGAAATATTAATTTTTTTTTTTTAAAAAAAAAAGAAAAGAAAAAAGAGTGGCACATCCTCATCCCCATTCGCTTAGGCCCTTATGACCCTCAAGCCATTGGTTATGAATGCATGAAATCACTAGTTTTGCTCTGCTTCATCACCTTTACCCTCCTCACTATATTTACCATTTTCCCTCTTTCTTTGCCGACGAGGGAAGAGCTTTCTTTATTTTTGATAGTCGCTTTCCCCTCCTCGGCTCCTCTTACTTTCTAAAAATCACCAAAAAAAAAAAAAAAAAAAAAAATCTCCTTGAGCCCCCCAAAAAAAGAAAAAAAAAAGAAAAAAGAAAAAATTTCCCCTTGAACCCCTCAAAAAAAAAAAAAAAAAAAAAAAAAAAACAGGGAGAAAAAAATCTCTCCCCCCAAAAAAAAAAAAAAAAAAAAAAAAAAACAAACTCCATTCTTTTCGCAGGCCACAAACCACTACACGTGCTTGGCTGATCCCCCCGTCATAGAAACCATAGTTTCCATTATTTCCATGTTCGTGACAGAAAATTTTCGAATTTCAGAAAAAGCAGAAAAAGAGAAAAATTTTTCTGTGTCTTCTCGGTGTGTTTGGAAGGAGGTAAACAGTGAAGGGGGTCCCATCCTGTTTGTCTCTGGCAGAGAAAAACACACACACACAAAAGAAAAAAAAAAAAGGAATAATTATTATTATTATAATAAATAAACACCCATCCTCCGCTGCTGCCCTGATTTCCTCTCCTTTCTTATCCCATTTCGCCGCCTCGTTAATTCCCATTTCAAACCCTAACATCCCTTCCCGTTTTCTGGAAACAAACGTCCATTTACGGTTCAAAGCTCAGAACTTTTTGGATTTTCGGTAAGATTCAATTTCATCTTCTGGGTGTTTTTTTGGGGGGTAATTTGCTGGTGCTAAATTTGGATTTTCATTTGCTAAATTCGGTTTGTGTTGCAGCTGCGGGTTGAAAAAATTTTTGTGAGAGAATCGGAATAGAAATTTTGGGTTGATTGGAAGATGTCGCTTTTGCCAAAAAGCGATTCGATTCAGATTAGAGAAGTGTGGGATTATAACCTGGAAGAAGAGTTTGATCTGATCAGAGAAGTCGTAGACGATTACCCGTTTATTGCGATGGATACGGAGTTTCCGGGCATTGTTCTACGGCCGGTGGGGAATTTCAAGAACAGCAACGATTACCATTACCAGACCCTGAAGGATAATGTAGACATGTTAAAGTTGATACAACTGGGGCTAACCTTTTCAGACGAGAAGGGAAACCTGCCAACCTGTGGGACAGACAAGTACTGCATTTGGCAGTTCAACTTCCGGGAATTCGATCCCAACGAGGATGTTTTCGCGAGCGATTCCATCGAGCTGCTGCGGCAGTGTGGGATTGATTTCGAGAAGAACACGGAGAGTGGGATCGAGGCGAGGAGATTTGGGGAGCTGTTGATGTCATCAGGGATTGTGTTGAACGATAGCGTTCACTGGGTGACATTCCACAGTGGGTATGATTTCGGGTACCTGCTGAAGATACTGACTTGCCAGGAGTTGCCGGAGACGCAGCAGGGGTTCTTTGCCCTCATCAACATGTATTTCCCGGAGGTGTTTGACATCAAGCACTTGATGAGGTTCTGCAACAGCCTCCATGGTGGGTTGAACAAGCTGGCGGAGCTGTTGGAAGTGGAGAGAGTGGGCGTCTGCCATCAAGCCGGCTCGGATAGCTTGCTCACTGCTTGTACCTTCAGGAAGTTGAAAGACAACTTCTTTAGTGGCTCACTGGAGGAGTACTCTGGTGTCTTGTATGGTCTAGGCGTTGAGAATGGACAGAATAGCAGCAGCAGCAGCACCTATTGTTGACCTACAAAAACAAAAAAAACAAAAAAACAAAAACCAAAATTGTGACAGTATAGGTGATGTGATGTGATGTGTGCGCTTCAAGGTTGCATCTGTATACACACACACTAATTCAAAAATGTTTGTTGTTTATTTATATAGAACAAATTCTCCTTTCTGCATTACTTTCATAACTTCCTCTCTCTTCCTTTGCTGTTTATAGTCACATCTCCTTCCTGCATTTGGGTTAGCAAAATTGCATTTCATGCCCATCTCTATAAAATTCAAGATTTCTATATCCATGCTGCATATCACTATAATTAACTAAATTTATTGCAGCAACCAGGCATATTCAGTTGTACATACACACATAGATTAGATGCAAATGATAGTATTAGACATAACAGTCGGAGTCGATAAAAACTAGCATTTAGTTTAAAAGTGTACTTGATGTCAATTAGAATGCTAGACATGACATTCATGGTCATAATATGCTGCTATTGAATCCGATAGGAAAACTAGTCTCTCTCTTTCTCTCTCTCTTGAGTGTTGACAACTTGCATAACCCTGCATTAATAAACACAAAAGTCCATCAAAAGGTGGAGGTGTGTAGTGCTGCATTTTAGGAATTATTATTAGGTTTCCCAACTTTCGCTACACTAAAATCTTAAGCCCCTAGAATTAATTTCACGACATATGCTAAATCTATCAAAATTTAAAGAGGGGAATGGAGGATGGCACTATGGCAGGGAGGCGGGTTTGGATACACACCTAGTCATGTCTCTTGCGCTTGTGCGTCTTCAGTTGCTTGAAGATGAAGCTGACAACTTCCTTCAGTGTGGCCTTCCTTCCTTCTTTAAAATTCCATAATTCGGGGATCACATATCTTCCACTGGCATTATATTCATTGACCTCTTCCACAGCTTTGATAACCGCAGCACAGATTTCTTCACCCCATTCTTCCTTAAGCTTGCTTAGTTCTTCATCATCCTCATTTATGATTTGCTGCATTTGCAGCAATGTAACAATATATTCTTGAAGGGCACGAAATAATAAAATGGCACAAGTGTAAGGGCAAACCTCAGGTCTATCATGAATATTGATAACCCTAAATGGATGCCAATTAGGGTCCTTCACTTTCTCCTGCCAAAGAGAACACAGTTCTAAGGCCTTCACATCAGCTTCCTCAGTTGAAAACCTTTGCTTGCAAACGTTGTGGAAGGCTTTTCCGTCAATTTCTCCCATTCGTCTTATGCCAATATGAGAACGGCCACTATTCAGCAGATCACTCAAGCCCTTCAAAGAAAATTAAAAGCTCACTGTCTAGTGTCCACAGATATATATTCTTTTAAAACAGGAATGAGAATGAACCCCAGTCCCGGAAGAGATAGAGGTAAGAATAATACTTGATACTTCAGTAAGGTGCTATGGATATGACACTTTGAACTGAATCAAATACCATACCTGAATCAGTAATTTACGAGCTTCTTGCAACTCATCATTACTCTGACGTTCCTTTAAAACAAGAGCATTATTCATTTCATCTAAATCTTTCATGTCTTCAATTTTTTCATCCAGCTGCTCCTTCATTTCCTTTATTTTTTCCTGTACAGCTGAATCATCGTCACCTCCCATGTGCTCCATCACATCCAGTTTTCCCTTAAGCTCTTGAATTTCCATTTCAAGTTTTTGCTTGGCATCAATGTCCTTTTCCAGCTCAAGTATCTTTTGCAAAGCTGCCTCCTTCTCTCTCTGCAGATTCGAAAATAGCAAAGAATCATGCAGGCTTCATCTTAAAAAACAAAAGCAAAAGATATCCAAGCATACTCTGTACAACATGATTTTAGCTAACTCATTACATCTTTCTTTTCCTAATAATATATTTGGTTACTTGTGAGTGTGCATTATTTGTTAGGGGCTGGGAGGTTGAGAATTCATCGTGACGTACCTTGTGCTCTTCAATAAGCCGAAGGACATTCTCATCAGCTTTTTTCTGCTCCTTGGAAGCCATTTCAAGCGAAGAATTTCTTTCATCATTCTGAAGTACAAAAATATCAAGTCATAAATGAGTCTTATACCTGTGGAATTATGGAAAATATGTTCTAAAATCTTGGTAAAAAGTTTATGAGCTCAGTATGAACACAAAGCTGTACAATTCAACTGTGATTTGTATATTATAACAGAAGTCAAAACAATTATCAACAAACAGATTGGTTGCATTTGTCTATTCGCAGAACATTTTCACATAGGATAATATCCATGACTCCCACATAGAGAGATGTGTTCATCATTACCCTTTTCTTCTCCTCATCAAGTTTTAGCTTTTCTCGCTCAGTCAAGACTTCACGCTTATTCAGCTCTCTGTTCCAAGAATCTAGTTGCTTCTTCTTCTTCTCCAATTCCGAATTCAGTGTTTCCTGTTCATGCAACACCCTCTGGACATGCTCCCGTGCAAGACGCTGCATCTTCCTAGATTCTGCAAAATAAGAGCACAATTTACAATAGCAACTTATCTGATCCTTATCCAGGGAAAAGAACATAGTAGACAAAAATATATGGAAGAAAATCAAATTAGGTTATTGTATCTTGGGCCAGATAATTTCACTATCTAAAATGGATACACAGCAGAATACAACATCCTTCAGGAGTCCACACAACTAATACAATTGAAGCAAAACATGCAAGGTGAAATTCAACCAAGCACACCTTTTTACATAAGACTTACATAAGGCTCCCACATCATGTGGGGTCTCGGGAAGGAACTAACTCTGCGTGTAAAGTAATTTGACATTTTGGGGCTTGAACTGATGACCTAACTACCGATTGATGAGCACATGTGCCCACAACATCTAAACCCAATGTTGTTCATACTTTTTTCCATAATCAGATGGTTAATGGAAAAACCAAAAAAACAAAAAAAATCAACAGAGGAAGAAGCGTCAAGAGAGAACCTTCATAAAAAGCACGGTGAAGTGTGTCCTTCTCCTCAATCATTCGACTGAGAGACAAGTTCTTCTCATTGAATCTTGTTGTCAATGCAGACAGATTTTCATTCTTCAAGTCAAGCTCATTGGTTAGATTGGACAAAATTTTATCTTTGTCCCGCTTTTCTTCTTGTAAAAGGTCAGTGATTGTTTTCAATTGCCTTGTCTCACGGAGGTAATAACCAACTGCCCCTTCTGCTTCGTAATCATCTACTTTTGCAAACCAACCATAAACATGTGAACTAGGTGAGCTCCTCTCAGCAGTCCATTCTTTTTTACTGTGGCACTCAGCTTCAAAGGCATTCTCAAAAAGTATAGCATTTTTATAACCATTCCAATCACTTTTTAATTTGATCACAACTTGGGAAGTCCGCGACTTATCATCACAGAATATTTTCACCTCCTGAGCTTCATATTTGGAAAACCTTTTTAACCAATAATCTTCTTCTTCTACTGCAGTCCCGTTTGCATTGTCCTTCGATACATTCACAACAATACCTGTCCAAGGCCAACAATACAGATTATTATCTTCTGGTGCAACAGCACGCTGTGGCAGTGGCTCAGCTTGATCTCCTAGATCGATCTCCAAATACTTTGCCAATGCCACATGGTTTGCTTTCTGTTTCACACTTCTGTTTGCAGAACCTTTGCCTACTCCTGTAGCATGCTGAAGGAGGTCCTTGTACTTGTAGTCTTGTTTCTTCTTTCCAGCACAGAACGGACATCTAAGGCACCCATTTGGACCCTTTACTTTGTATTTACCTGACCTCAATTCCTCATAAGGTTTTTCTTTATACTCATTGATCTCAGACTCACTCAAGTCCGATTCTTCATCTGAGCTACTCATCTTCTGCCAATCAAAAGCAAAATTGTGTTGAAACAAAATACTCCAACAATAGCACCGTATCAAAAGCGAAGTGAAACAAATTTATGGAACTGAAAAATGCTGACAGATACTCCATATTTAAATACCAAGCTAACAGTGGTTCACAACACTAGTTAAGCTAGCAAAATACTTCTCTTAGGTTGAAAATCAGAGAGCATGTGTTCACGTAAGAACTGGTAAAGAATTAACTACTAAGCATGCTGCTGATGCCATAAAAACATACACTGAAGCATGTCCAAGTTGGAAAAGGAACAGGTTATCCTGTTGATGCACAAATCATGAAATTATAAGGCTGTTTGAACCATATGAGAGTACATTGCTCTACAAAATTCAAAACACAATATAAGACCTAGTTTTCAAACAGATGAACACCGGTATCAAACTGATATCATCTTAGTAGCTCCCAGGTTAACACTAACATCAAGCGGTAGCAAAATTATCTCGAAATTTCACAATATTCTCGAAATAAATTAAACCTAGTTTTTCACTCCCCGCTAGAAAAACAGAAAGCGGCACAAGCTTTACTTCACGTTCCACATTTCAAAATCAAACCCCCACGGAACGATCTCATAGCTCCGTTACTAACATTTCCAATGCACCTATTCCAAACCTTGTCTAAAATTCAGCTAAACAGATGCCTAGAATCAAATAAATCCATGCAATTGAACAAGAACAAACAAGACACGAGTGTAATGGAAGAGTTGTAGGAGCTGGATAGAGAGATTACCTGCGAGTTCTTAGCAATGAAAGTCCAGAAATAATTGAGAGACTGAGAAATCCGAGTGACTGAGAAGAGGGGAAATAGGGCTTAGCTCGTGACTCTCCTTTTCTATTTTAATGGTTTGTTTGGAAATCTGAAAAAAAAAAAAAAAAAAAAAAACAGATAATTTTTGAAAGTTATTTTAAAATTTTTCTTTTTTGAATACTTTAATAAAGAGAATAAAGTTAAAAGAAAATATTTATTTTGATTAATGGAAAAAAATATGGAAGAATTGATCACGACACTTCAAAAACAATGAATTTATTATTATTTTTTTTAAAAATGAATTTTTTTTTTTGAATACTTAATTTTGTTTTTATTTTTAAAAAAATCCTTTTAATTTGTATTAGTCATGTTAACACACTTATGTTTCCGAGGAATTTTTAATGAGTTAAATCACAATGATTCAATCATTTATTAGGTGAAAAGACTAGTGTTGAGTCTCCATAAAGAATCACTTTTACAAGAAGATGAAACTTTCACACTAGCATCTCTAAGGGAACACAAAAACACCAAATTTTAACACCAAAACATCATTCCATCAATTTTTGATGCTCCAATCCAACGCCAAATGTCAAAAAAAAAAAATAAAAATGGCGGAGGTGAACAATGCCGCTCCATTATGTATTTTCTTTGTTTTGTTAAATACTTCAATTTAAAAATTATATTATTAAATATAAATTATACCATTTTAAAGATCTAATTGAGACGATTAAAACAAGACTAATATTTATATATTATTTAAATTTTCAAATAATGTTTTTAAAAAATTATGTTAAATTGTACTAAAAATATTATTATTTATATCACAAATTATATTTTATATTAAACTAATTAAATTCGAACTAATAAAGTTTTAAATTTTAAGAAACTAAATTCTTCTATTGTAGCCAAGCATCTTGTGCTTAGATGACACATCTGTCCCTCTCCTTAAAGGAAGGTCACAAGATCGAACCCGGTGGACCCAAAATAACATTTGGTTAATGAGTTGGAGATGAATAAAATTTGGTGTGAGAATATTCTGTTTGATGTGCTATTTGGTGTAAATTTTTGGCCTAATAATTACCTGAATTTGATCTCGTATCGTTGGTGCAATCTTTCTCTCAAAAAGCTTAAATGGCCGATCACTTGACCTAAAGTTAACACTCTAGTCCTGATATCGTGGCATTCAACTCCCACAAACAACATCTGGGAACTAAGACTTCCCAAGCTAGAGTTTATGCATTTGAACTCTCTTCTCTCAAAAAGCTTAAATGGTCGACCACTTGACCTAAAAGTTAACACTCTAGTCCTGATATCGTGGCATTCAACTCCCACAAACAACATCTGGGAACTAAGACTTCCCAAGCTAGATTTTATGCATTTGAACTCTTTTCTCTCAAAAAGTTTAAATGGTCGACCACTTGACCTAAAAGTTAACACTCTAGTCCCGGTATCGCAGCATTTAACTCCCACAAACAACATCTTGGAACTAAGACTTCCCAAGTTAGAGTTTATGCATTTGAGCTCCCCAAGTTGGTAGAAATGTAAAGATGGACCACTTGTAAGCAGAGTTAATATCATTTGTTGGCTGAAAGACTGCTTAAGCGACTCGATTTACCTCTTTTAATGACTTATGATTTAATTTCTCCAAACGATTCGATTTACCTGTTTAATGACTCATGATTTACCTTTTTTAATTCTTAAGTATGGATTTTGATGACTTAGAAATAGTTTGATGTAAACTAAAAATCTAATATGAAATTTTTTATTTTTTATTTTTATTTTTTTTTTAAAGGCGGGAGCAGAAGACAATAACATTGGACGCAGGGAAGATGACGAAGTAGGGGCTAGGGAAGCACTAAAATCTAAGTAAAAGCTGCACCACACTCAATAACAATCCAATTGGTTACAGTGGTCAAGTCACAAACTACAGTGCTATAATGGAAAATGAGTAATATTACACTGATTTTTATTTTCTTTTTCTTTTTACAATTACGGATTATATAATGAATTAATTTCACTTTTGGTCCCACGACTTTGGATGTTCTATCACTTTTGGTGCACAATTTTAAAATTTTTTAATTTTGGTGCCTAACTTTGTTATTTTTATCAGTTTTGGTCCTTTCGGCCAAATTGACAGCGAAATGTTGCTGGATTTTATATTTTTAGGGGTAAAATTGTCATCCCAAGGAAACATCTTCAATATCTAATCAAAATCACTGTAAAATCATATCTATAGGTGTTTGATCGATGAGAATAATGGGGAAGACGGGCAGGAACCAGACAGATCTATGGGATTTATAGTTTCGACCATTGGCAAACTCTTCTTTTCCTCTTAATATGATTTTTCTTTTGTTTAAATATTGAAGATCTTTTCATAGTATGACGATTTTGCCTCTAAAATATAAAATTCGGAAATATTTTACCTTCAATTTGGCTGGAAGGACCAAAATTGATAAAAATAACAAAGTTAGGCACCAAAATTAAAAAAATTTAAAGTTGTGTACCAAAAGTGATACGAACTCAAAAGTCGTGGGACCAAAAGTGAAATTAATTCTTATATAATTAAATAAATGCTCAATAAAAATGATAAATAAACAGAATATAAATAATACATATACATCATAAACAAATAAGAAATGTAAAGTTTAAATAAATTTTATATACGAAAGGGAAAAAGAAATTAAAACAAAAAGAGTAGGAATGAATAAAATTTGTAATTGCCAAACACCTTTTGCTCAGATAACATGTACTGACCTCTCCTATGTGGAAGGTTATGAGATCGAGTCTTAATGGAGGCGTTGTTGACTCTTTGTACTTCATTAGGTTGAAAAAGTATATTTGAACAGATACTACAATCTAATAGAATTAGTAGCATATAAAAAATGCATTTTTTTACTAATGTTAAAATTTTATTATTATTTGCTCTTTTATAAAGAAATACACGAAGTGGCACGCTCAAGTGAGAATCAATTAAGGATGGCAATGGAGCAGGGGCAGGGGCAAGGACGAGAACGAGGAATAGGGTCTCTATCCCTACTCCCGAATTTATCCCCCATTTCTCGACTTGTCCCGTTCCCTGTGGAATTTTTTTCGGGGACATGCATTTTCCACCCTGAGTTTTTAATACATGTCCTCATTTTTTTAGTAAACTATAAAATAATATATTATTTAAATTATACAATTAAGTTACAAATTTATATATTTAAATGTTCAATTAGCTTAAAATTCTGTTTGTGTAGACGATGATATATCCCACACATTAATCTCCCAACCATGTTTTGTTCTCATGACTGCGCCCGTTTTGGTCGTGGGTCACCGTTCCTGGTTCTGTAAGAGTTTATAAATAATTGGGCCCATTCAATTCTCCTTTGAAGCAACCATCATTCCGAGTATCCCACATACTCACACAACCGACATTTTGAATCATTAAAGCACATCGTGGTAGTCTCGTGCGGGAGTCACTGTTCTGACAAGGAGTGATATAGTAGGGAGTCCGAGCCCCCCCCACAGTGACACACTTCGTTCCATAATTTAGTTGTCCCATTGAACCCAGGTGCCAGGTATCCACTATAGAACTTTATTCCAAGGGCTTTAGACTCATTCCTCGTGTCAGCTTCTCTACAACTTCTTTACTTAACCTTTGGTTAGCGGACTCGCTACGTTGTCTTTTGACTTCACATAGTCAATCGAGACAACGCCAGTCGTGAGAAGTTGTTTAATGGTATTACATCTACGACGTATATGTTTAGACTTACCATTATACAGATTATTCAGTGTTCTCCTAATTGTGGCTTGACTATCACAATACACCAATTGGAGGTACATGTCTTTCCCAATTAGGAATATCCTATAGAAAATGCGTATGTAGCCATTCAACATCTTCACAACATTTGTCTAAGGCTAGCAACTCAGATTCCATCGTGGATCTGGCTATCACGGATTGTTTAGAGGATTTCCATGCAACGACTACACTGGCTAGTGTAAACACATAGCCACTCATGGACTTAGAGTCCTTAATATCATATATCCCATTATCGTCGCTATACCCTTCAAGTACATCAAGATATCTTGTATAGTGCAGTCCAAAGTCACGAGTATACCTAAGGTATCCCATAACTTTATTATTGCCTTCTAGTGCATATCACAGGGGTTACTCGTATATATGCTGAGTTTACTAACCGCAAAGGCAATATCCGACCTAGTACAACTCATAAGATACATCAAACTACCAATAACCCGAGCATATTCTACTTGAGAAATACCCTCTTCATGGTTATTAGTTAGATGAACATTTGTATCAAACAGTGTCTTAGCCAATTGATCATCATCCTTGTTAAATTTAGCAAGGATTTTATCAATATAATGAGATTGGCTCAATACAAGACTATCAAGTCTTCTAATGATTTTAATCTCGAGGATTAAATCAGTCAAACACACATCCTTCATGTCGAATCTCGCATTTAACATGTTTTTGGTAAACTTGATCAATCGATCGTTACTACCAACGATGAGTATATCATCTACGTATAAACAAAGAATGACATACCCGTCTATCATTTCCTTAATGTAGACACACTTGTCACTTTCGTTTATATTAAACTCATTGATTAACATCACATGGTCAAATTTCTCGTGTCACTGCTTAGGCGCTTGTTTTAAACTATATAACGATTTAACCAATTTATAAACTTTTTTCTCTTGTCCCGGAACCACAAAACCCTCATGTTGTTCCATATAGATTTCCTCATCTAACTTGTCATTCCAGAAAACTGTTTTCACATCCATTTGATGAACTTCCAAATTCCGCAGCACGGCTATGACAAGTATTATCCTAATGGAATTTATTCTCGTCACGGGAGAATACGTGTAGAAGTAATCAAGGCCATCGCGTTTCCCCTAACCTTTAATTACAAGCCTAGCTTTATACTTCTCGATTGAACCATCTAGTTTCATCTTTTTTTTTTAAAGACTCATTTGGACCCTAAGGGTTTACTACCCGGAGGAAGATCAACAAGTTCTCAAGTGTGTTTTTGTAAGATAGAATCCACTTCACTCATAATAGCCTCTTTCCACATTAGTCATTTCGT